TTCGGGACTTCTGCCTCAGCCTCCCCTTTCAAAAGTCGTCTGTTTCGCCTCCGCGGCTTCCCTGCGCTGCACTGAAGGTTTTCCTCCAGGTCCATCCGGGCGCCAGGCAGCGTCTTGCCACGGGAAAGCTCTCGGTGGGGGTAACCGGGCAAATGGCGAGTGCGCCCCACTCCACCCCCCACTTGGGGACAACATGGTCGGCCGGCGAAAGGTCTGGCGAGGAGGGGACGGCTGCAGGAAAGATCGCTCTTTGTGCCCCCTTCCTTCCCCACCCCAGCGGGGTGAAAGGGGGTAGCGGACCCATTTGGGCATGCTTGAGATTGGGCGGTATTCCTTACCCCCCCCCCCCGAGATGCACCAAATGTCGCCTCAACTTTTATACATTTGTTTTTATTTAAAACCTTTTTTTGCCCCACCTTTCTCCTTAAAAAGGACCCAAGGCGACTTAACATCCGTGGAAGACAATATTTAAAGCTGAAAACAAGGAGTATACCCGACAGTGGTTTACATCATTAAAAGACAATATTTAAAGCAAAGAACAATAACCATAAAGAGGCAGCTTAGGGCACTAAAATACTATCTTAAAGCTAAAACAATAAGTATGCACATACTGTACTAAAAAGGAAACAAACAAATGCCACTCAGAGAGGATCAACACAAATAAAGTACTGAAGCCCCAGTCAGAGAATAACAGTCCATCTAAAAGTGACTCACCAGTCACTCATGTAGGCAGTTTCTGAGAGAAACCTAAGTTCTGCCCCTGCAGGTTTTATTTCATTGAAAAGCCTGGTTGGTGTGTATGTGTTTTAAAATTTTCTGGAGTCTTGATAGATAAATGAGACCACTGGAATGAATGAATGAGTACATTATTTTTATTTTAAAAATCATATTGAAACACTCATCATCACTTTAGAAAAAATGCATTTTGTGCTCTCGATGCATTTACGTGAAATGCAGTTAGATCGTCAGATTCACTTAAATTGCATTTTTAAAAGAATTAAATGAACAGGAAGATATGTAATGTGGGTCTTCCGAAGTAGTTGGAGCAGAGGTACAGTATAACTAGAGGAGCGTGACTGGAACTTTGACCTGACATGCTGAAATCAAGAGGGTGAAAAATTTCCGCCTGGAAAGGCACAATGTGGTTCATCAGTATCTGTTGCTGAACTGGGGCGAACCTGCTTGCCCCAAGTGTAGGCAGCCTCAATGACTGCTCCTTAGACAGAAAGAAACACAAAACAGGCAAGCTCAGCACAGAATCAACATGGTCATTAAACACTGAGACTCAAGTGTCCCTCTTCATTCCTCCATCCTTTCTGGTCATGCTAAGCTCATGGGGTTCAAGTTTAACAAACAGGGCACAGTAGCCCCAGGCACCAAAATTCCTAGTTACTGAGCTAGCCTGGAGAAAAGGTTCTTTGAAATAATATGCTTTTTTTCTTTGGGTATCAGAATTAACCCATGCTAGTTGGTGGTGAAAAAGCAGATACTACTGTATAATACAGTGTAAAATTAGAAATGTATATTTTGTGATAATTCCCTGCATGTGAACTGAGAAATAACATGAAAAGAATTACAGTAATATTTCATGTCATTTTAATCTATGTTTCACTACTAAGATTCCCTAAAAACTGCAGCTCCTTTCATAAACCCCTCAGGGGAAGTGCTGTTTTAAAACTCACCTACAAAACAGATGCTGAATTCTGCTTAATGCATCATTCGTGTTTCTCCCGCCATACCAAGGATGCTTAGCGTAAAATGGAGTGTGGGAGGAGTGTGTGTCTTCTTCATTTGCTCAGTCTGCAGGCTTGTCTTTAAAGGCAGCATGGGTATTCCCCCCCACCCCGATAAACAACACTGCTTATCCCAGATACTAGATGAGGACCATCCACTGATTTAATATGGGGCACAGGGCAGCCATCAGTTGAGTTTCACAAGCAAAGTGAACCTGCATGCTTCAATAATATTAACATGCCCCACTCCTGACTCTGTCATAAATTTGCTGTAGGATATAAAATCAGTATCTGACATTCTAAAAGGATTTGGCATTTCTAACTGGTTCATTGGGCTCAGCACCTGAGGCTCAGTGAGAGCAGGAGTTTCTGAGAGTGCATCTCCAGTGCCTTTAACGATTGCATTTATTAGACTGAATTGTGTTGATGAAGCAAAAGATGCTTTGGGAGAGATGAGAGAAGCAGAGGTGTGAAGAGATGCAGCTGAGTTCCCTTGAGCCTGGTAACTAACACACTCAGTTTGGCCTTTGGGTGACTGCAGGGGCAAGAAGGCAACCAGACATTCTCAGAGTGGCAAAACAGTGACAACGAAGGCTCAGAGAGGGCTCTGTTTTATGGAGCGTGGCAGCACAGTGCGGAGAAAACGCTCCCAATGGCTATCGCTGTGGTGTGACCATACCCTGACCGTGGCCTTTCAGAAAGGACAGCTCCTTCTCTGCAACCCCCATGAGTCATTCTGTGTCTGTCACTTCTGTTTACATACCAGCACAGAATAGGATTGCTGCTTCCTGACCAATCCCAGTCTTGCCCATCCTATGCTGAGAAGTACAGAGGCCCAAACAGATCCAAAATCAAGGCACTGGAATTAATCAAGCCTAGGCCACAGGACATGATAAAGGACAA